CGATGTAGCTGCCTATCCCACTTCTCATCAATAATCTTCCAAACAGACTCATAGCGGCTCACATAATCATCTAAATTATGGGTTATCTCTCTCTTGCATCTCTCCATTCCCTCATATATGTAGCCCATGAAGGAATTGTCACTATCAACCATGCGAAGGACTTTGAGAAGAGGAAAAAATACCTTTAGAGCGCCCTTCACCCCTCGCCAAGAAGCCTTAGAAGGATAATATCTCTCACCTTCTTCCCTTTCTGATTCCTGGACCACTTGCACGCTCTCCACTCATCTGAAGTAAACATCTGCCTCAACTGAACTCTCCTCGAATGTATGTTATTCTAAGCATAAGTACCAGGTAGCAAATCTCGTGACCTCGGAACTCACAATTTATTTCTTCTTTGTAAATCTAAGCATCATGATGAGGGTGAGGGTGTGGCTATCAATAAACGTTGTAACTGACTTTGCCTTCTTAACTGCGCCTAAAATATTGCTCAAACCACCAAGAGTGTCAAGCATGAGGTCTATACAATGTGTTGCACATAGTGTCTAAAAGATACTAAGGTAAGCTATGAGCAACAAATTAGCACCAGCAACATTAGAAGCAGCATTATCTGTGAGAACCTAAATACATGCTACTCCCCACTCCTTGATGTCCTTCTCCATCACTTACAATATGTAATGAGCAACATGGCTACAATCAAAGGCATCAATAGAGCTCAAAAAAACATTCCCTAAAGGACAATTCACTAGCAAATTCACTTGGCTTCTTCTCTACTTATCACTCCAAGTATCAATTATAACATAAACCCCATACTAAGCCCATGCATCCTTCTGTGACTCCACAATCTCCTTTGTGACAACCACCTCTTTTTTCAAAAAGAGGCTCTAAAAGCTCATATGGGGTTGGGGGCTTCAACCCAAGCCCAAATTGATCAATTACTCTACCAAGCTATAGAAGCTACTTAGGCGAGTAGTATTGAAAGGAATGCCCGCCTTATAAAACCATCTAGCAATGTACTATACAGCTCTATCTCTCTCTTCCTTCTTGATTCTATTCTTAATAGTTGTTTGCTTCTTTGTTTTCTCTCCTGCAACCTCAAGGACAGGCCAAGGCAAAACACAATCCATAGGCCCTCTAACCCAAAGCCTCTTAGGCCCCCCACTCCAAGAACCAAGTACAACTCCCTTTCCCTTCTCCCTAGTCTGGGATACAGCAAGTTGCTCCACCTCTTCACACCCCTCCTAATACCTATCATCATCATCAAAATTGACACGATGGATGCCTCTCTCTCCTCCTTTTTCTTTTTTACAATACTCATAATTTTTATTCCCATCTCTAATAGCATTAGGAAAAATTTTACATGGGGCAACATCTCCCTGATACCGATAAAATGTTTCTTAAACCGGTTTATGCCCCCATTTGTATCCCTTTCACAATAATTGAATCTTATGCAATTTTTATCCAAAAGATTTGGGTTATAGCCATATTTCCAACCCGGATCTAAAAAATAAAAATTTTCACTAACTTTGATAGCTCGATCTCCAAACTTCCACCTTTGAGATGTTTTTTAATCTCAAAATCTTCTAAAAAAACCTCTAATAGACCCATAAAATATCTACAACTAAATATAATCTCAATGGGTGATGTTTAGATCAATTTCTCGTAAATTTGATAAACCCTTCAATCCTATAAAAATCACAAGCATCTAGTTTTTTTTGGTTTCTCTCTCTCTAAAATGGGCTCCAATGGAGTTAAGGTTTGAAATTAGCCTAAACCTTACCTTTTTCCCCTCTTAATTTTATAAAACAACCCAAAAATACTCCTCAACGAGGGGCACTTTTGCCCCTAGGTGGGGCACAAGCCCTAGACGCCCACCTAGGCAGCTTACCGCCTAGGCCTGGGCACCTTGCTCAGGCCCCCTAGACCGTCTAGGTGCTAGGCGGCTTGCCTTTTGGAACAACGTATATTCGCCACCAAATTTGAACATGGGACGCCCATTTTTACATGAACTCTATATTTCACCAAGTTGCCCACTAGCCATTTTTTGTCTTCATGTTTGCCATTTTCTATTTCCTATGAAAAAGTGTGTCTATCTATTTCTTATTGGTGACCAGAGTTTTATTAATGGTAAAAAACAATAGGAACAGGTACATGAAAAAAACAAAGAGGTGCCAACACAGCATCTTAAAGGGGAGCATAAATAACTAATATTATAAAAAAAAATTAACCAACTGCCATGAAGGAACACTCCACCAGCCCACCAAATGACATTAAGGCAATCACCCTCCACCACCAGCAGGTTTTTGCCCTCCTCGAGCATTAAAGCAAGCCAACCAACATCACCATGAAGATGAATCACATATATTTCCGATCCTGAAAATGAGATAAAGTCCTACCCTCAAAGTTCTTTTGCAGCCTCTCAGCTCCACCCATTGGGTTGCCTGGCATCCCATCAAAATTGAATATGAGTCCCTACTAGAGGAAGAGATCATCTAATACTAGGTCTATTAGTCGCCCCCAAAAAGTGACACAGTATTCCAATCCCTTAGACAATCCACTCTTCAGGATCCACGAAATTCCGGTCTCAGAAGAATCCAAACAGTAATCTGATTATTATTCCTCTCCTAAAGGATCTCCCTCCTGACACCCTCCCCTCTAAATAACCAGATACTGTGCTCCTTCCAAATGCCTTAAAGAACAGCCACATTACATAGATGTCATGGTAGGTGCCCCTCTCCATGGAACATAAACAATCCAGAAAACAGGCCAGCCACTATAGACAGTGTGACCCATGATAAACTAAAGAGGTCCAACATGAAAGACCACATAGTCCTTGCAAAAGGGCAATGAATGAAGTGCTGATAAACAATCTCAGCTTCCTCCCTACTATCTGCATGCCCCTGCTCTGTAATGATCAATATAAGAAAACAATCCATGCAAGCTAGCAAACTGAATGCAACTACTCTCCTTACCTGGCATCACCCAGGTAGCCTAAAGAGGTCCAAGATGAAAGACAACATATTCCACACGAAAGGGCAGGACTGAAGCGGTGATCAACAGACTCAGCCTCCTCTGTAAACATAGTACACATGCTAGGTATTTGCATGCCTCTGTTTCATAATGTTTGATAGTAATAAGACAATCCAGACAAGCAAGTGAACTAAATAAAAGTACTCTCATTGGGACCTAAATCTTCCTAACCAATCGGACAACCCAAAAAGTGTAACTAAACCAATTTGTGGTTCTTTAGTGTGGCCTTTGATCCAACACCTGAGAGACATGTTGTAATGCCAAATGCTGATGAAGAGTCGAGATCCACAATCCATGTTCTTGTAGTCTTGGAGAGAAAAGAGAGGGGTTGGTTGTGAGCAATTTTCATCAGTCAAGGTGGAGGTGCCAAAGAGGAAACGAAACACAAACTAGACGTGCAATAGTGGCACAACTTGCCCATGCACATATGTGCCATGCCAACTACAGACCTGGCCTAGTGGCCTGCATCTACACGAGTGTTGGCGACATGCTACACATATTATGGCCAGACCCATAAGAACACACATGGGTAGCAGTGCTTTCCACCAGTTTTGCGTAGACAGCAACTCTCCCCTTGTGCTACATATCAGCAGTGTTGATACTTGGACATGTTTGCACCAACATTGAAGTGATACACATTCTGTAAGTATCACTTGTATCAGGTTATTAAGACTCTTATTTAGCATGAAGTCGGATTTTCATGGCACATTTAAAAAAAAAGTTACTTTTTATGAACTGGCACTCTTACCCAAAAACAGAATACAGCCATGTCATTATGAGGCATAGCTTTAAAAGTCATGCCATATCAAAGATTATAATGGCACACAACATTTGTGTGTTATCTCTTAGGGTATGAAACTTACACATCCAAAAAAAAACTATTAGGGTTTGTAGTCTTTGATATGGCCCAGTTAGGGTTTACTGATTAGGATAAATAGCAAACAGGTTATGAATGAGGATACTTTAAGGCGAGAAAACTTTTACATGAAGATGCTTGGAAGTCCAATGTTGCAAGTTGAGTGGTTACATAGTTTGGCTTGCTACGAGATGTAGAGATATGATAGTAAAAGGAGATTCAGTGAGGATTGGCTGGGGTTTCCACTTGAGCTGCAGAGATAAATGTAGTGAGGACAAATATAGGTGAGGTTCGGTTGAGGAATGACTTTTGAGTTCCAGAGATAAAACTGCTTGTATAGAGGTAGTTTATATATTTTAATTTTTTTATTGATTTTTTTTAACTTCTTATTGTAAATACGTGTAAAGATGAAACGCTTTTTAAAAAAAAGATACTTGTGCAAATGAATTGCACCATGTTGAAATGTGAAGCAAGGAATGCATATAACAATTGTGGACAGTGACACATCTCGGTGTCTATGTAACACCACTTTGCACTCCACATCAAAGCAGTTGAAAAGCACACAGACAACCAATTCATCTTCCAGACCCTCAAGGCTAACACAAAACAAAAAGACGCGCGCGCATATATACAAAAACAAAAAAACCGAAAAAAACTTGCAGTTGATCAATGATAGACTAAACAAAACATGGGGCTTTGACATGCAAAGTTTCCATAAAAAGACAACCACAAATTATTTTGAAGACAAAAATACCAACAATAAATGAAAGCATATCATTTTATTATGGAAAACATTTATGTAAGGTTGAAAGTTGCAACCTTACTTGCAGAAGTAAAGTTGCAATAATCTACACAGTCTATTTTATTTGGACGGTACAGATTTGACACAATCTTAAAAGACGTGTCAGTTTTTTATACTACCTTAAAAGAGGTGTCAAATCTACACTGTCCAATTAAAATGGATAGTGTAGAACATTGCAAACTTATTTTTACAATTAAGGTTGCGACCTTATATAAACCGCACCCTTTTATTATTTGACATTGGATACAAGTATATAAATTGCCATAATACAAGTGACTAGAAATAGAATAGAGGCAATCTTAATTGAGTACTTACATCAAGCCAAGTCTCTGTAATGAATTCCACAATATCATAGGCTATGTCCCCTTGCACATCAATTTGCTCCTTTTCAGTTGGCCCCTAGGGATAACAACAATTCAGGAAATCATATGGAATGAGGATATCATACATATGACATACTTTTAATTCACATCAGTATTTCAACTTTTTTTCACTGGATGACTAAATTTCATTCATTGTGGCTTATGACTACATTCTACATGTTATGTTTTCATAAATCTACATGAAAGAAAGACATAACATATACAAGAGTCAAAAACATTAAAAGGCACAATTTTACCTTAACAACCGATGCTCCTGTTGCAAATTTCTTCCCAAGTTTCTTTGAAGCTTCACTTAATTTAACACCTAAAATGTATGACTGGGTTGATAACTCTAAATGGAAATATAAGGTGTTAACTAAGACCAATTCATAAATGGTTTGCTTACCGAAAAGATCAAGGCCTTTAATAATAGTAACACATTTGCGCTTGTTACGCACAACCTTTTCAATGACCACCTCTTGCTTGTCCTGGAAAACAATAATAATTGTGATTGTTTTACTTCCAAAGTACAACAAATGTCAAACTAATGTTACAAGAATCCCTTTTTGAAAAAACACAACATGAATTACTTATCTATAACTGAGCAATCAATGTGTAACAAAGAAGTACACAAAGTATAATGATAAAAGGACACAAGATGAAAGACCATTTGAATGTTGCAATATCAATTAAAGGCGGGAAAAAGAAATGAAAATGTATGCATACATCCCTCCCTCCCTATACCCCAAATAGTTGGGAAAAGGCTTTGATGATGATGATGATGACCTCTCTCTCTCTCT